TGATTTTGCCATTCCGAGCAGGTATTCCGATCTATATGCAAAACGAAACAGATCAGCAAGAAGGGGAGCACAATTGGTGTCCATGTGGATGCCTACTTCTTGCCTAAATGTCGTATCCCCAAATTTGTACATAGTTGTTATCAATGAGGAAGTCCAGCATTTCATGTATTGTTTTCTCAGAAACTTCAGATGACAGATGTTAATAGCTTCAATCTCCAATAACATAACATATAACAACTGTTATTTGTGCAGAGATTAGATGATTTGCCCAGTTGATATGTAGGTAAACTCATATTTGTATATTTCGTGGTCAAATTTCTTATTGTATATAAAATGATGTGCAAATATGCATTACGTTGTGAAACAAAAGTCCCTCCGATATCGACAGGGTTGTGAACAGTTCGCGTCACGGCCGCTATCGTCAGAACAATCGTCCAAATCGTAAAGATTCGTTTTCTTCACATCTGCGTTAGTGTGTTATTACCAATGTATCATCACCTTAATTTCTTCCTTCTGAGAATATATCGATTTCCAATAAAAATAGATGAAAACTTTGTGATGGGAGAAACTGGGCAACACCATATAGATTTGTCATCAACATCACCATCTTACTTGATACGACCACTTACCCTCTGCATCCATGATCCTCGACAAATGAAATATATACATTTACCCATATTGTAAATTAGATTTGGATTAAGTTTCATTTTCTTTGAATAATAACAAGAATTGGCTCAGACGTTTGGGTAGTAAATGTTCAATTATACTTTATTCTTCTATCGAAACATCAGACACATTTTTATATTGATTATTCGTTTCATTTCTCTGAACGTTATTTTGTACTTAATCAGATCTTTCTTAGTTTTCTATATCAATGGCTTTTCATTAATATGATTATTATGTTTTATTACATCTGAAATCTATTATATAAATCGGTGTGTATTTCCATAGATGAAAGAAAAGATATTAGGGTTCACTTATCTGATGACAGAAAAAAAGGTAATGAAAAAAACATTTCTTTAACGATTGAATAACAAATGCTCGACATAAATGAAAGCATGCAATAAATTAATTGATCTTCAAGGAATAAAGAATCCGCCCCATAATCAGTAACCTGCCTTTGTGAAACATGAAATGCAATATCCCTAATTGCTTCCTACAGTATTCACTAGGAGGATTAAGCGTATCCGTGTGGCATAAACAGTATCTTTTCTTATGAATTACGATTACACGGAGGAGATGACCCTAGTAACCGGCACCACAACGCATGACGGGCGTACTGATACGTCCCGGATGTGGACGATTTACTGATCGCAATAATATCAAGTATGTACTAAGCTAAGGATATCCGGTGAGTTCGTGTATAGGACTTTCTGTTGTGCGACGTGATGAGTATCTCATATCTCCCTTTTAGTAAAGGATTATGTGCCTCGGCGAAGAACAAGATACCGAGTTTAGCCATCTCTAGTGACATTGAACCATCGCATTAATGTATGGGTAGACTTTAGCATCATTCAAACAATATCACGTTGCGCGGGCAGGAAGGAGGTAGGGGACACAAGGAAACGGTTTCGCACATTGTATCTTCGGTGAATTGTGGCTACCTAAAACCCGTCGTTGTGTATCGTTTTTTAATTGTGAGGTACAAGACATGGAATTGTATCAGGACAACTTTATATGTGTTGTTAACCGCACGTATCGTGTTAGAATAAGAAATGACTGACGATAAATGATGCAGTATCCTGAAAAGCAATCATTGAATCTAAAAAAGCAGACCACTGATGTTTGAAAAGGAGTAGAACTATTTCAGATTGAATCACTTACTACACATGTGCACTTTTAAAGGTAAAGATGCAACGCCAGATCCCTCTATATATCGTTCGCATAACACGACGATCGTTGTAGAGACAGGTAATTCTGTGCTTAACAGAAATTAGAATACATTCTGATTTGCTGACTAAGCAAACTGAGCAAACAGGTTGAACATTCATATTGGATTGACGACTGCCTCCGGGTTGTGTTGTGTCACGTGATAATCACGTGCACGAACTCGTTCCATTATGAATTCCTGTCAGTGCTGGCCGACATCCTATTGGATTGAAACGAGTCGAGTGGGAGTCGAGCTGATAACAGGATTATTTTACCATGAACGATAATCGTTTGGAACTTTGCACTCGGAGAGTTTGCGTTTGGGAACAAATGTATGGCCCTATAATGATTCCGGGACAGATTAACTTTATTTTTCAACAAAATTAATGGAAAAAGAAATCGATATCCTGATAAACAAAACAGTGAAACAAACATTTTCTGCACTCCCTTTCACAGAAAAGAATTGCGTGTTTTGGAGCAGTAACCGAACAAATATCTTGTCTCGAACCAAACTCCAATGTGCATTAAATATGAAATCAGAAATTGAGTGTTTAGTAAAAGATTTCATAGGCTATACGTTTCTTCACTCACGGGGACCATACAGAAGTTCGAGTAGCAGCGGTGGTTGAAACGTTCGCTCGTCACGCCGAAGACCCGGGTTCGATTACCCACATGGGCACCTTTTTCTGGTGTCCCCCGCCGTGAAATTGTTGTTAGCAATAGTACGGACTAGTATAGGCTATAAAATCGGCATGAGTCCGGACTAGTATAGACTAGACAGGTGCATGCACGTCGTCATATAAATGCGATAATCTTGTCCGAGTCAGGATTAAATTGATATGCTAGGAGCCGATTGTATGTATCGTTCACACTACTGTACACAATTTAGTTTGTGTTTGTGCTCAGGCGCCATCACTATAAATGTCAATTCTTGACTTATCAATGAAGATGTTCTTATAACTGAATGACTGTGACATCAGTATACAGGTTACACACAACCAAATGTTTTCCCATAGACTTCTATAGTAACGTTATAATTTTTGGCCTTAGAGCAGCAATAAAAACATAAAAAATGACTAGCTTAGCCAACTCCTTTTCCGAGTACAGGAAGCTAAACACACCACCCCCAGTTTCGCACCAAATGTCACCTACTTGAAAATAGCTGTGGTCACATTCAGCATAAGTCATCATGTTGAAAAAGACAGTACTAAATATAGAAAAACTTGGTCAGTTTTAATAACTGGATGGATGTACATTTGAAAGACATTAAAATCTTACAGAATATCCTCCAATCACAGCCTGCAGATATCTCTCGATCTCCACTGAAGGCTCCCTACGAAAACCGCACTGTCCAAACTGGTTCTGATTTGGTGTAGTAGAACCTGTATACCCCTAGACAACGCCAACACTACCATATCCATTCGTGACGAACTCGTGTTATTCCGGGACAAGCCGAATAGCAGGTTACGGAAAGGGGCGTAACAGAGGTGAGTGAGGTGAAATGGGGTTTAACGTTGCGTGCAAGAGTATTGTACTTTAATAGAGACGTGCATGCACGTGAGTGTGTGGCTTGTACTGCCAGCAGAAATGTCTTCAACCCTTACTTCATTTACAGTCAACAGTCTAGACTCAAATTTACCTGTATGTACAGCAGGTGGAAAGTGGGAGGTCTTGTTCTTTTCAACATTAGGAGAGGTGAACTGGGGTTTAACTTTGCATCTAGGATTATTGCACTTATATAGCGACTTGCTTGCGTGCGTGGGTGCGTGTGTGTGTATGTGTGCCCGGAGTATAATGCCGATTTTATAGTGCTAGCCAACTGAGATACCATGCCAAGATTTACAGGAATACCCCACTCAGACACAGTATACTGACTCCGAGCCTACAAGTCCTTGTTTAAGCCCCTTAATGCCAAGCGCCAGGCAGGGTAACAACAAGTACTATCTTTAACGTCTTTTGGTATGACGCGTTTGGTGTTCGAACCCCGGACCTTCCGCTCTCCGGGCAGACGCTCTACCACTAGACCACGGAGGCTGTCACGAGGTCAAGAGAACTATTTTTGAGACATTCCACACAACTTAGATACCATAAAGAATTGCGGTCTCTGTAGCGGCGGCAGCCAAACATGGCATACTGGATCGCAAGTTTAAAAGACACGGAAAGACATTAAACAAGACGGTAACATTAAACACAGACTTGACCTATACATTGACTTTCTTTGCAAGCTCGTACTGCGCAACGTATTCAATTGTTGGCATGTGTTTTTGTTATGTATGTAGTCAGTGTAATAGTTGGATATAGGAGACTTCAACTATAATAAATAATATATATTAAGGACATTCTATTATTCCACACACACACACACACACACACACACACACACACATATATATATATATATATATATATATATATATATATATATATATATAATAATAAGGCAAACGTTCACTCGGTGTACATGTAATATATAATAAAATAATAAAGGCCACGTGAGTCCAACATCTGTTTATCAGCTAACTTTACTTATACAGCTCAACTTTGGACTTTTGTATTTTATCTATCTATCTATCTATCTATCTATCTATCTATCTATCTATCTATCTATCTATCTATCTATACATACATACATACATACATACATACATACATACATACATATATATTATGAAAATGATAGAATATAGATAGATAGATAGATAGATAGATAGATAGTGCATCGTGATATCTTAGATTCTCTGCGTTATTGTTTTAATCGTAATATAGATATTATTTAATTAATAAGAGCTATAGTGTGTATTGACTATTTTTATTTGTTTATAGATATTGTTATGTTTTAGTTTTTTATTTAATTCCTTAAATGATAAATAAAGAGGGACACTGTGCGATATATGTGCATCGAAACGTCGTTTAATAATACCAAGTAATACAATCACATCTACACTGAACTATTATTGACTCAGTCAGAAATCGGTTTGAGAGCTTGCGTGACGAAGGTACTAAGAGTAGCCTCCCTTCGACTGAATGATACTTTAGAGCCTCATGTACTGGGTATCACTAACATGGCCAGTGAGGACGTTCGAACTCAGTCAGAACATCATCACCTCACGCTCATCAAGAAAATACAACTATTTCTCCGAAATCCACGTTTATTACAATGACGATTTTGAAAATGCCTCAAAACACAAGATCATGGTTTTCACTTGGTCGTACGATGTTACTTTTCACAAAGGTACTTCGAAAACAATCTATAAATGCTCTTTGAACAGTCGAAGTTGTCGCTCGTCTTCGTAACAGCAAGTTTGTCGCTGATTCTCCATACTTGAGACCCCTGCCTCCTCACAACAGGGTCCTCAGCCCACGCAACGAGCGGGGCCTGGGTCAGCTGATCGCAGCTCACCCGCTGATTCCTGCAACATAATAATAATTATCATCATCATCAACAACAAGTTGGCATTTTACCCACGCTCAATGGGTCAGTCTGTTTTTTCAGTTCTTTGGGGTTTTCGTACCGAGAAAGACATCGCCCGATCGACAGTATTGATACTTCAGAGTACTAAGGTAAAAACAAATTAAAATCTATTGCAACTGGGGTGAAACAAACGAATCAAAATCCCGAATAAATTCCCATTTAGAAAAGCACAAAGAGTTTAAAGGCACATCCGTTTGGATATTCCCCGCTGCGCAACAACGATTGTATTTCGGTTAAATCTGTGTTTATTGCCTTCTCAGTTCGCCCGATTGATTCAGTTCGTAAATGTGAGGAACATTTTTTCACAACAGAAGAAGTAAATTGCTAAATTAAAATATATTCGTACAAAAGATAGTTTTGTATGAGAGGTATTGCCTCACTCCTCACCACCTGCAGCTGAATAGCTGTGTACATGTATGTTAAATGTTAAATCCACATTGGGGCCCTCATTCAGGGAGTAATGGTTTTCATTATCACAATCCCTCCTCATACAGTTTTCACAACACTTTGAGAAAACATTTTTTTCACGGTTATAAGAAAAAATCAATTGTCAATTAGATTTTGAACGCCAGTTATGTAACCGTGGGCCGCCAAATTGTGTGTGAGTTGGGTTTAACGACGCTTTTAACAGTATTCCAAGTATATCGCGGCATGTCGGCTTAATGTGGGAGGAAAGCCTGAAGTGGTGCAGGTCTCAGACGTTTACCACTTCGGTGAAACCCACGAGCACGGGTATGGTGCCGACAAACCTAGAAACATATTGTGTGATGTAACGAGATCGTCAGCGAAACTAGTGAATCCAATTCCAGACTTGATTCTTAACAACCATGGCCGAGATGATCCATGGGATTGAGGTGAGTCGGGTGTGTTATTTCAATGTCGCATAACTTTGACAAAGGGTAAGAGGAAATATCCAGTCAAATAAGTAGGATTCCATTATTTACGGTTTGTTTGTTTGTTTGTTTGTTTGTTTCCATGTTAGTTTAACGCCGCACTCAACGATAGTCCAACCATATGACGTCGGTTTGTAATTAATCGAGTCTGGACCAGACAACACAGTGATTCACATCACCAGCATCAATCTACGCAATCGGGATACGATGACATGCATCAACTAAGTCACCTGATCCCATTTGTCGCCTCTTTCGATAAACATGGGTTGCTGAAGACCATTTCTAACCCGTATCTTCACAGGTCCTATTTTTTACTAAATAAAACAGGATTTGAAACACACTACATATTTATTCCACCGCAAGCTGCTATAATGTTATTGGTATTTTAGATATCAATAAATAGAATTAGTGATAACACATATTCGATTCTTTCATGTGACGAAATCATTTTAGATATCATAAGTTCGAAACGTATTTATTGATTTCTAAAACTTCAACTTACTTGTTCCTGACAACAAAGAATGCGTCTGGTTGTATTGACTCTATGTCCGTGTTGTCACACAGAACCTTCGCAATGGTGGTCACCTTGATGGCGTTAACTTGATCTGCAAAATATACAATATTGCTGTGATACAAAACAATATGCACACATTCAGATTGTCCTGTTACTACTACTAGGTAATGCCATTGACTAGAAGGAAAATTTTCTTTTTCAAAGGTCAGTCTACCGAATTTGAGTACATCTGTTTTGATAAAATAACTGATGGGCTTGTTCTAGGTAGATGAATCAGGGTTTTACCTAGAGTACGAGTAATATGCCAACAACGTATTCATTTTGATAGTTTGCATAATTAGGAGCATTGAAGTAAATATTAACGTACACTGATTACTTCAGTGTCTGAATAATATTTCACAGGGTACAAGGGTAAAAATAAAGTTTGTGTCCTCAGATAGTTCTTGTGTAATGTAATGGTTCAATACGCATTATACGCAATACGCATATATCTCTTGGGCTGATAACTGCATCTTATTTCAAGAAGGCAACTGAAGTATCTGACGTGGGAGAGAAAAACTGCGAAATGGAGAAAAATGGGAAACGATGAATAAGAGCGTGCAAGAAAATGGGCGTGCAATCAGATGAAGTGCACAAAGGTGTCAAAAGCACCCTCAGGGTAGGGGTTGGCGGGAGTGGTGGTGGGCCTTCATATTCAACTGTTCACAAATGGGTTGTTGAATTTAAGCGAGGTGGTAGAAGCCCATGTACAGAAGATGAACCTAATCTGGCGTCCTGAACATGCCACGGCTGAAACTGTAGTGGGGGTTGTCCACCACCTTGTCATTGCTGACCGACGTGTCACAATGCAGAATATCGCTGGCGCCAGAGGATCAGGTTTGGGTCTGTACAGTTCATCTTAACTGACACACTCCACATGAGCAAGCTGTTCACAAGATATTCACCCAGAATATTGACACCAGAAGAGAAGCTGATCCGGCTGAACATATTCAGGGACCTTTTGTCCATATGTCAGAAGAGTCCAGATAAAATATGTATACGAATTGTAACCAGGTATGAGACATTGGTCCATCACGTTGATCCTGAGACAAAACTTCAGTCAAAGAAGTTATGCTTCGGTTTTCTTAGAAAGTACTGGGATAATCATGATTGGCTATCTGCAGCGAGGTCAGACAATCATTGGACAACACCATGGCACGGCCCTTCGTCATTTGGGAGAAGCTATGAAGAAAGAACGTTGAATGAAGCTCCGGTCAGGTGTGCAGCTACTTCAGGACAACGCGCCTGTGCACAGATAGAAGTGTCAGTGGCTACAGCTTTCAAAATGTTTCCCGTGCTCCTTACTCTCCTAACCAAGCACCTTCTGAGTTTGATCTCTTTCCTATACTCAAATCATACCCATCACATGGTACATCACATGAACAAGTGAATTAATGTCACAGGAGATTACATTGTATAATGCGTGAACAAGTTTGATTCTGAATTGTTTTCTTTTAACGGTCAGGAACATTTCGATTCACCCTCGTAACTTGCATGTTTACTTTAATTTATAAACTATGCAGTTATGTGCACACAAAATCTTCAGATTAAGTGAGTGAGTGAGTTGGGTTTAACGACGCTTTTAACAGTATTACAGTTATATCACGATGTGTCAGCTTAATGTGGGAGGAAAGCCTGAAGTGATGCAGGTCTCAGACGTTTACCACTTCGGTGAAACCCACGAGCACGGGTATGGTGCTGACAAACCTAGAAACATAATCATAGGTTTCTGGCGTGCCGAATGGACGCAACTCTGCACAGCGAATCGCGGCGCCTTAGACGACTGGGCCAGCCGGGCCCCCCTTAAGACAGAGCATGTTTCTGTCAGCTTTTGTTGATGGTCCATCACTACGGACAAAAAACCGTCTTTTCGGGGCTTTGTTCTAACACACACAAAAAAGACCCGCCGCGGTACGTTTGAAATACTGTTTAAGGTGGCGTTAAACATTACTCACTCGACCCAACGTACCTTTTGTAAAACCCGTCGTTTTATCATCCCGATCATAAAAGAATCTGTCGCCGACCCTGAGAGCCTTGAATTGATGAGACAGGATGCAGGAGAATGTGGGACCAACTATCCCCCCTCTGATGGGATTCTCAGACATGCCTCCAGCAAACAGGTCAATGTCATCAGGGTGTCTAGGAATCGAAAACAGACCATCACATTCTGTCCATAACATGGGACCAGAACACGTTTATCAACAGTAAGTGGGACACTAGAATGTCACTATGTGTAACTAATTTCTGTGTTTCACTTTACTGATAGGTCACCAGTATGTCACTATGCGTAACTTACTTTTGTATTGCACTGTACGGGTTGACCAGCAGAATATCACAATACGTAGCTTACTTCTGTGTTGTACTGTGCCGATATGTCACTATAATGCACTATGTGTAGATTTCTTCTGTGTTGCACTGAACTGATAGGTCGCCAAAATGTAGCTTACTTCTGTTGTACTGTACTGCTAGGCTACCAGTATGTCCCTATGCGTAACTTACCTTTGTATTGCACTGTGCGGATTGGCCAGCAGAATATTACTATGCGGAGCTTACTTCTGTGCTGTACTGTACTGATAGGTCACCAGAATGCACTATGTGTAGCCTAATTCTGAGATGAACTGTACTGATAGGTCACCAGAATGTAGCTTACTTCTGTGCTGTACTGTACTGATAGGTCACCAGCATGCACTATGTGTAGCTTACTTCTGTGCTGTACTGTACTGATAGGTCACCAGAATGAAGCTTACTTCTGTGTTGTACTGTACTAGACTGATAGGTCGCCAAAATGTAGCTTACTTCTGTGTTGTACTGTACTAGACTGATAGGTCGCCAGAATGTAGCTTACTTCTGTGTTGTGCTGTACTAGACTGATAGGTCGCCAGAATGTAGCTTACTTCTGTGTTTCACTGTACTGATAGGTCACCTGAATGCTCTCTGACATATTTTGATGTGAGATACATAAGAACGTGTCAATCCTAGGTATCGAATCTACTTACTCGTAAACACTTCTCAGCTTGTCTATAGCATCTTCAGGAAGATCCACAAGTCCACCCCGGCCGCTGCTGAAACTACCAGCCACCGGAAGTTGACACCACCTCCGCCATTGATTGTAGCTAGGCAACCCGTGGTCGCGGCCTCTCTGGATGTTGAGTGCCGCGAGGTCAAGTTTATGGCCAACGCCATCTTCAAACAGATGCTGAGTTAGCTGCGGACTCATGTAACGGTCAAACTTATTGAGGTTATCTGTGACAAGACCACGGACTATTTTGTTAACGCCATCACCATTGTCCTCTATGATCTGGGAGGTGTTGCCGAAACTCCGACTGAGCATCATATCCTCATGTCCTTGATAGCGCTGATTCATCTTGGAAAACATTGTCCTCACCAAGGTGTGTCCGAACCTGCAGTCAATAAGTAGAGGATAAAACACGGCTTCGAGCTACTTTCCCCAAGGTGTGTCCCAACCTGCAGTCAATACGTAGAGGATAAAACACGACTTCGAGCTACTTTCCTCAAGGTGTGCCCCAACCTGCAGTCAATACGTAGAAGATAAAACACGACTTCGAGCTACTTTCCCCAAGGTGTGTCCCAACCTGCAGTCAATAAGTAGAGGATAAAACACGACTTCGAGCTACTTTCCCCAAGGTGTGCCCCAACCTGCAGTCAATACGTAGAGGATAAAACTCGACTTCGAGCTACTTTCCGAAAGGTGTGCCCCAACCGGCAGTCAATAAGTAGAGGATAAAACACGGCTTCGAGCTACTTTCCCCAAGGTGTGTTCCAACCTGCAGTCAATACGTAGAGGATAAAACACGACATTGAGCTACTTTTCCCAAGGTGTGTCCCAACCTGCAGTCAATACGTAGAGGATAAAACACGACATCGAGCTACTTTTCCCAAGGTGTGCCCCAACCTGCAGTCAATACGTAGAGGATAAAACACGACTTCGAGCTACTTTCCCCAAGGTGTGCCCCATCCGGCAGTCAATAAGTAGAGGAAAAAACACGACATCGAGCTACTTTCCCCAAGGTGTGTCCCAACCTGCAGTCAATAAGTAGAGGAAAAAACACGACATCGAGCTACTTTCCCCAAGGTGTGTCCCAACCTGCAGTCAATAAGTAGAGGAAAAAACACGGCTTCGAGCTACTTTTCCCAAGGTGTGCCCCAACCTGCAGTCAATAAGTAGAGGGAAAAACATGACTTCGAGCTACTTTCCCCAAGGTGTGTCCCAACCTGCAGTCAATACGTAGAGGATAAAACACGATATCGAGCTACTTTTCCCGGGTGTCTTTTCGAAGATTTACAATCCAAAGCATAACCGAAGTGGACTTATCTATCTGACGACAATATGTCAAAATAAATTGAGAAAATATACCAAATGTCGAACAAAAACAAATAATATTTTGGATCCCAATACTGTTGCCTTGTCATTTTCGCACAAGCAACAGCGAAAGCACATCTCATATATATAGACATTTAAAGACATTTATATTCTGTAAATCTCTCAGATGCGGTTACACATTTCAGTAAATGAATAATTTTCAAGAACAAAAAAATAACATTTATTATTACATATTCCAAATAATAATAATAATTTCTAGCATTTCCCATGAATGACTTCAAAAACTATTCCTTATACATGAGCGTATGTCCTGGTTATAATAAAGTTTATAAATAGAAACTTCCACATCAGAGGTGCAGGCTGATATATCGATGTAAAACAAATATAAGACTGCATTCCATGTCACGGATTAGCGTCTGTATGTATATATCACTTTTATTTTGTTATACATATATTTATTTATTTTATTTAACTTTATTGTGTTATTGTTTTTTTATCTGATCTTATCTGTTTTATTTATTTTTATCTTTTGTATTTATTATTTCATCCTGCACCATTCTGTATAATGAGAGCTTTTACCTGTAAGCGGAAGTAGCAAATGCATTCCTTATACTGGCATCTACATTGGGATTGTACTTGTCTTGGAAGCCAACAAGTTTGGGGTTGATGTCGAACTGATTAAGAACGGGGCCGTTGAGAATTTTCCTGAGGAACTCTTTATAGGTTATGTGCTGTATTTTGGCGCCCACGATCTTCCTGGTTTCCTGGAACAGCCTCTCGTCATCCCAGGAAGGGTTGATGCTGCTGAGTTCCTTCGCCATCCGGTTGTGTTCCCTGACCCAGATTGTGTGGAGGGTCGCCAAGGCCATCTGTTCGTTAACGCGGGTGTCACCTGTAGATTGGATTAGGATCTGTTGAACAATGTCCGTTTTCTATTATATGCTTTCTAAAAGAAGTAGGGGATCATGAAATGTAAAAGTTATGATCGGTCGTCAGAATATTCTTGACTACTGGAACCAATACCTAACGCCCAAAGACACCAGAAAGATTGCATGTAGACCATGTAACATCCACGGGGAAGGGGGGCATTCTTGATTTTGACTGGGTCGTCAAATCTCTATGATCTATTAAAATTGTTGATTTTCATTGTCCACAGTAACACGTAAGCTCTCTACTCTTGCTTTATTGCAGTATTTGTGACCAGATTTGGGCATACGTCGTCTACATTGTGATGAACACCTGAGGGATAGCCAATATGTGCAATGTGTCTCAGTCTGTGATTTGCAGAATTTGGGACAAGTTTTCCAAACACAAAATGTTAATGATAGCCCCGCACAACAGAGTGCCCTTGTTCAACAACTCAAGTCCAGGATAGGCGAATCAGATGTCGAGACCAAACAGCCAATCAAATCGCTAGTCACTTGCGCAAGGCCACTGACCAGGCCACCACAAATCGGCACTTGCCAACCAGATATCAATGTCGCCGAATGTCTCGTGTTTTCAGATGAGTCCAGATTCACCCTAGACTTTCTGGATGGGCGAAGACGTGTCCAATCTCATTAAAATCACATCTTAGTTCTCGCTATCGCTATACAAAGATCTTAGAACATCCCATTACGGGTCACGTCAGAACGACCTTTCATCCGACCAATCAAAGCGTCGCTTACCAGATCATGAAAGTGACAGTCGGAATGTGATTTCTAATCATGCAACCTCGAAATCGTTTACACGGGGTATTCCGAACGACACTTCCGACCCCTACGACTGATTCCGTCAAAATTGTCGTCTGTCTCTCGCTTCCGTCTGTTAAAAAATTTGAACGGAGGAGGCGTTGCACAGTTCGTGGCCATACAATCGCAAACATATATTAGACATTCCGAAATGTTCGTTTGTTCAGTTTTCAAAATTTTAATCGAGAACTGTGTCAACATATTTGTAAGCGTAGTCGGGAATAGAAGTCGCTAGGTTGAAACGAGTGCCGTAAAGCTCGAGAAAGCTGCTTTCTAATTGGCTGATGTCGACTTCTTGTTAGTCGTTTCAGTAGGTCGTTCTGACGTGACTCGTAATGGTATGTCCTCAGATCTTTGTTAAGCGGCAGCGAGAACTTAGATATCATTTTAATGAGATTGAGACGTGTCTGGAGGCGTCCTAACGAACTTCATGCTAACGCCAACATGACAAAATCAGGTTACTTAAAAGTAATCATTATGTTATTCCAATATATCGGTGTATCACCATATAAGTCAAAATAATTATCATAAACTGTGGTCGGAAATATCTTCTGAACACTAATAACCCATCTCGGTGCCTGACCAGACACTATTTCAATTTGGTCAATGTTATGTTCTCAATTGAAAGTTCAGTGTGACTTTATCCTAACTGTATAAATTTGTGGACCAAGGTACAGCCAATTTACTTTGGCGTTCAAAGCACAGTCCTAATTTTCATGTGTGGTGTGTCTGTGTCTGTGTCTGATGCCACGCCGTTATGTGTATATACAGGTAACATGCCTCATTGCAGTGTACACTGATACTAGTATGCTACAGGGACATATTCCAACACCACATGTTTTGTACGTTGATGGGCGGGTATTCTAGCAAAGACAATTATCCACCTAACATAGGGCGAAGCATTCTCAGGAATGGTTAACGAGCAAAATGTTACACTCCTGGAATGGCCCAGCTACAGTCCAGACTTGAACCCAAATGAAAATATTTGGGGAATCACGAAGGACAATATCAGTCAAAAAATTATATGTCATATGAAACCAGAGGTGATGAGATCTTGGGACAGCATGACTCATGATTTTCTCACTTCCTTAATAGGCAGTATGCCTCGGCGCATTGAAGCGTGTTTAGGAGAAGAGGTAGCCTGACAAAATATTGAACAGTTTGCTGTTTTGTAGCTTTAGGTTAGCAGTGTTTGCTGGACAAATGTATCTCTTGTTAAATCTTAATAAATCTATAATTTACAATGATTTCGTTCTCAGTAATTTCTGGTCAAACTATATCTGATCCAGCTTGTCACTGCCAGATTCTCGATGCCTGAGTTAATGGGAACAGTCATAGATAAATGTCACTTTGAAGTCGGACCTACCAGCCTTGAAGCAGTAATCCTTCTCACTGGTTTTACGACAACTTGGTTCTGTGTCTTCTGGTAGTAGGTCATTGGGTGACGTCTTTAGCAGGCCTTGAAACAGACACTTTTTCAGTAAGATGGACACTGGTTTTAAAGTGTCCTTGATACGATAAGGAACAATAACGGTAAAAAAAAGTTAAAGGGAATAAAAGTGACAAAACCTTTTCCATAATAACAAGAAATATATGCTAAAAGCGGAGGCGATTAACGATTTGGTCACTGATGCGTCAATTTTGGAAATGTTTGGAACCATTATATATAATTATATATATATATATACAATTAAGTGTAGGTTCAGGAGCAAAACGAGTCCACAGTTCCAGGGTCCCTTTTACATATATTGATTCTAATAATGTTTTGTAAAAAACACCTGTGAATATTTACACAGTGATACATGTATATTCAAAATAGGCCATTTACCTCGATCAAAGGCTCTTAAAATCCTCATTTCAGCCAAGGAAGAGCCGTAGATCATAGAGCCGTCGATGTAAGCTGTAATCTGGTTTAATTGTTCTGCTGGAGCTGAAATATATTGAGGCATATTATTTCAAATTGCATACTGAAATAAACCAGACTTGCGAGAGAATTCTGATTATCCTTTGCAACCAAATAATACTTAGTACCTTAAACCATAACGTGTCAACAGATTATATCCAGTATAAAATATATTCAGTAAAAAATTGCATACTCTCCTATTCTTACAACTATTATGAGCACGTATTGCTTCAGCTGTCAAAGACTTCTCAAGTACACATGTGTATTCTCAGAAAATCCCGATCCCATTATTCGCCACTTACGACAAACATGTGTTCCTGAAAACCAATTCTAACCTGGATCGTCTTGGTGAATATGTCAACGTGTTGTTGAGATGAATTCTACCAAGTAGTATACTTTTGTTCGGTCCAGACTCAAGTTATAGTCGCTTTTCACGGCTAGCATGGGTTCCCGAAGACCTATTCTAACCCGGATTTTCACGGGTAGAAGCTTCATTAAAAGAATAAACTAAAAGCTGTACTAATGAGTTGAAATTTGACCTATCATATTATGTTGCTGGTGGGGTGTGTGAGTGTGTGGGGCTTGGGGGGGGGGGGGGCTGGGGGGGGGGGGGGGTAAAGTCCTGTAAACAAGCATGACCTACCTAGTTTACACTCGGTGTTGGACACCTGGATTGACCTGACAAAACTCATACATGTCCTGGCCTTGAACATAGGGTCATTCTCCGGGATGGTGATGGGGAAGCAGATATCTCTGCAAGACAATTGATACAACATGAATAAAGATACAAGGGTAATGGTCGAGTTTCTGTAGCATAAAATGTTCTTCAATACCACCGATAGATATTTCATTCCCGAAGCTAAAACAACTACAACGTAGATATATATATATATATATTCATACGCACGTTTTCAGTTTGGTAACAAATAGAAGCACGCATGTACAGAGCAACAACAGTGATGATGCAGAACGGTGTATTGCTTCAGAATCATGCCATACAGTTCTTGTTCTGTGACGTCGCTCTGTATGTGAAAGGTATTCTTGAAGGCGTTGTTAAACCCCACTTACCCTCCCACATCTACAATACAACACTCAAAAATGCATCATCATTCTTAATGTCGACAAAGAGAGTGATCCACTATTGTCCAGTCCATTTGACTCTGTCCATACAAACGTGTTTCAATGAAGGAGTGTCGAAACCCTAACGATGTAAAGCTACAGGCACACAGACAAAGCGACCGCGATGCAACCTCTTGGCGACTGATTTCTTTTGCAACTGACTGGCGATCTCTGAGACCGGTGCAACTACTTCTGCCCATATTTGGAATTAGGGTATGATCGCCGATCAATCAGCGATAGGTTTTGCAACTTGTCAGTGATTGATCGGCATCTGTTCACCGCAGATACGATGCGGTATGAAAGGGGACCGGTCGGTGACTAGTCGATCGATCACCGATCAAAGCATAATGCATATAAAAAGGATGCTTTTCTGAATCAAATCATTTCTTTGCAAATTGTCACCGATGAAGTGCCGGTCGATCACCGCCTCATCACTGATCAATCACCGATAGGTCGCCACAAGGTTGCAAAGAGTCGACGAGTAGACGAAACCGATCGCCGTCACAGTGGAAACCAATCTGCGATTAAAATAACACCAATTGGGGACCTCTTGGAGACCAATCAAACCTCCGAGCGACCAAATCGTTCGCTGCCAGTTTTTGTCCATGTTCAATTTTTCATCCCCGAATGGGTTTTGCGACGGCTCTGAAACCTTGTAGCGAACTCAGTGAGTGAAACCTTTCAGAGACCCCTGAAACCTCATTGCGATTGTCAAATATTTTGGTCACAAGGAGGTTGCATCGCGGTCGCATTGTCTGTGTGACTGAGGCTCTATGTGTCTACAAAGGCAGAGTGTACGATGACTGTGTACCTGTCTTCAGGATTCATGTTGATCTTGGCCCTGCTTTCTTCACTGAGGTCCTCTGTACAACATCTGACATGGGACCCATCGACACCTGACACACATGATTATTATATTACATGATTAAACAATACAGCTGTATATAAGTCTGTTTTGACTGATCCCACTCCACCAAGCTGTGATAGGTAAGCGCTGTCAGGGTATGTAAACAAACCCATCCCTTCCTCAGCACTGAAAATATAGTTACAGTATTGCTACAGCCTTGTTAAGGTTACAGCTAGGCTACAGTTTGGTTTCAATCTGATTAAAACATTGTTAGTGTTGTAATACTGTGTCATTCCAGCCTAGTTACAGTCTGGGTACTGCCATGTTTTGTGAGACTTTTTCAGCCAAGTTATTGCCTGGTTACTGTCTTGTTTCAACCTGGCTACAGACTGGCTACAATTTTGCTAGGCTAGTTACAGTCTTGTTATAGTCAAATCAGAGCCTGATAAAAGTATAGTTACAGATAACTCTACATAATTATACTTATACGGTGTGAACCTGTGGTACAATACCCACGGAGTCGAGGATGCTTTAAGGACGGAGTATACATGCATTCACCTAACTGTATGGGGGTGCTGTGATGTCGTGTATTTAGGCTGGTGAGGTGAAATGGGGCTTAACGTCGCGTCCAAGATTATTGCACTTATATAGCGACGTGCATGCATGTGTATGTATGAGTGTGTGTGTGTGTGTGTGTGTGTGTGTGTGTGTGTGTGTGTGTGTGTGTGTGTGTGTGTGTGTGTGTGTGTGTGTGTGTGTGTGTGTGTGTGTGTGTGTGTGTGTGTGTGTGTGTGTGTGTGTGTGTGTGTGTGGCTGCCGATTTATAGTGCTAGCACACTGAGATACAATGCCGCAGTTTAACATGAATACCCCACTCAGACACAGAATACTGACTCCGAGCCGACCAGTCCTTGTTTTAGCCCCTTAATGCCGAGCGCCAGACAGGGTAAAAACAAGTACCCATCTTTTAACGTCTTTTGGTATGACGCGGCTTCGGAACGTGTATTTAGGGACGGAGTATACATGTATTCACCTGACTGTATGGGGTGTTGTGATGTCGTGTATTTAGGGACGGAGTATACATGTACTAACCTGACTGTATGGCGGTGCTGTGATGCCGTGTATTTAAGGACGGAGTATACATGTATTCACCTGACTGTATGGGGTTCTATGATGTCGTGTATTAAGGGACGGAGTATACATGTATTCACCTGACTGTACGGGGGTTCTATGATGTCGTGTATTAAGGGACGGGGTATACAAGTATTCACCTGACTGTATGGGGGTTCTATGATGTCATGTATTTAGGGACGGGGTATACATGTATTCACCTGACTGTATGGGGGTGCTGTGATGTCGTGTATTTAGGGACGGAGTATACATGTATTCACCTGACTGTATGTGGGTGCTGTGATGTCGTGTATTTAGGGACGGAGTATACATGTATTCACCTGACTGTATCGGGGTTCTATGATGTCGTGTATTTAGGGACGGGGTATACATGTATTCACCTGACTGTATGGGGGTGCTGTGATGTCGTGTATTTAGGGACGGAGTATACATGTATTCACCTGACTGTATGGGGGTGCTGTGATGTCGTGTATTTAGGGACGGAGTATACATGTATTCACCTGACTGTATGGGGGTGCTGTGATGTCGTGTATTTTAGGGACGGAGTATACATGTATTCACCTGACTGTAGGGGGGTGCTGTGATGTCGTGTATTTAGGGACGGAGTATACATGTATTCACCTGACTGTATGGGGGTGCTGTGATGTCGTGTATTTAGGGACGGAGTATACATGTATTCACCTGACTGTATGGGGGTGCTGTGATGTCGTGTATTTTAGGGACGGAGTATACATGTATTCACCTGACTGTAGGGGGGTGCTGTGATGTCGTGTATTTAGGGACGGAGTATACATGTATTCACCTGACTGTATGGGGGTGCTGTAATGTCGTGTATTTAGGGACGGAGTATACATGTATTCACCTGACTGTATGGGGGTGCTGTGAGGTCGTGAATTTAGGGACAGAGTATACATGTATTCACCTGACTGTATGGGGGTGCTGTAATGTCGTGTATTTAGGGACGGAGTATACAAGTATTCACCTGACTGTATGGGGGTGCTGTAATGTCGTGTATTAAGGGACAGAGTATACATGTATTCACCTGACTGTATGGGGGTGCTGTGAGGTCATGTATTTAGGGACGGAGTATACATGTATTCATTGACTGTATGGGGGTGCTGTGTGGTCATGTATTTAGGGACGGAGTATACATGTATTCATTGACTAATGATTTACTCAACCTTTCACTTGTCAGAAACTAACGGTAAATATAAAATGTCAGTGAAAGGGAATAACCAGTCTTGATTATCCACCGAAACAGATTCCATTTAGCGTAAAAGGCAAAATAGCGGTGTAAATTATATGAATGGATCACTGAAAATCAGCGATGTATTTAGGGGCGGATTATATTCACCTGACTGTATGGGGGTGCTGGTGATGTCGTGATCAAGAAACTGTCCCCACTGCATCAACAAGTGCGACGCTGCATTCTGGACACCAATTTTCTCATCAGATTCGTGGACCGTGAAACTCACTTCTCTTGCACTCGCCAGCGGGTTACCACTCTCAGCAGTTTGCCTCGGAGATGACACACCTGAAGTACAGAAGACATAAATTCCCAATTTGTGAAAGACGCTGTCAAACATATCCTTAAAGTTTTTAACAATGTTTTAGACATTTTATGAACGCTTCATTCTTGATGCCCGCATTATATCTTCGGCCTGGACATACATACTTTTACTACCATCCAGATGTTTGTCTCTAATCGCCAAAATATTTTGATCTTCTAAAAGGAAACAGAAAAAAGTATTTTGTCTCCTTTAATGTAAATGCTGTCATCCAGTGTGGTGGAGAGAAGATCCTGAACTCTGCAACTTCTGCAATCGTGTTTTTCTCACAAATATGCAGACAGACATTCCTACCATTCCTCACAGAATAGGTTCGTTATTCACATGAACATCAACACTACCGTTCCTCATAAACTGGGTCCGTTATTCACAGGAACATCAACACTACCATTCCTCAGAGACTGGGTTCGTTATTCACAGGAACATCAACACTACCATTCCTTACAGACTGGATTCGATATTCACATGAACATCAACACTACCATTCCTCACAGACTTGGTCCGTTATTCACATGAACATCAACACTACCATTCCTCACAGATGGGCTCGTTCTTCACATGAACATCAACACTACCATTCCTCACAGACTGGGTCCGTTATTCACATGAACATGAACACAACCATTCCTCACAGACTGGGTCCGTTATTTACATGAACATCAACACTACCATTCCTCACAGACTGGGTCCGTTATTTACATGAACATCAACACTACCATTCCTCACAGACTGGGTTTGTTATTCACATGAACATCAACACTACCATTCCTCAAAGACTGGGTTCGTTATTCACATGAACATCAACACTACCATTCCTCACAGACTGGGTTTGTTATGCACATGAACATCAACACTACCATTCCTCACAGACTGGGTTCGTTATTCACATGAACATCAACACTACCATTCCCCACAGACTGGGTTTGTTATTCACATGAACATCAACACTACCATTCCTTACAGACTGGGTCCGTTATTCACATGAACATCAACACTACCATTCCTCACAGACTGGGTTCGTTATTCACATGAACAACAACACTACCATTCCCCACAGACTTGGTTTGTTATTCACATGAACATCAACACTACCATTCCTTACAGACTGGGTTCGTTATTCACATGAACATCAACACTACCATTCCTCACAGACTGGGTTCGTTATTCACATGAACATCAACACTACCATTCCTCACAGACTGGGTTCGATATTCACATGAACATCAACACTACCATTCCTCAGAGACCGGGTTCGTAATTCACAGGAACATCAACACTACCATTCCTCACAGACTGGGTTCGATATTCACATGAACATCAACACTACCATTCCTCACAGACTGGGTTTGTTATTCACATGAACATCAACACTACCATTCCTCACAGACTGGGTCCGATATTCAAATGAACATCAACAATACCATTCCTCAGAGACCGGGTCCGTTATTCACATGAACATCAACACTACCATTCCTCACAGACTGGGTTTGTTATTCACATGAACATCAACACTACCATTCCTCACAGACTGGGTCCGATATTCACATGAACATCAACAATACCATTTCTCAGAGACCGGGTCCGTTATTCACATGAACATCAACACTACCATTCCTCACAGACTGGGTTCTTTATAACCTTATATTAGCTGTGTCCGCGGTCACGATGGCCAGAACTGACAGTACTATAATGGCTCCTATATGAAACCGCTATTCTGCATGATAGGACAATGTGTGTACACGGTGAACGTTTTCAATGAAGTCATGGAAAGCAGGATGAGCTCGCTGGACGCGAGATCTCCAGGTAAGGGTTTGTCTTATGTTCTGAAAAGTAGTCTCTGATAACCTAATTTCAGGAGGGAAGGAAGATACGGATTGGGAGTATCAGTATACGAATCAAACATTAGACAAAAATGTCGTCTTGAATAATTAACAATTGTATATTGTATTTAGTCATCATCCAACGTTTATTTTACTTTTTATATGTATGTACCAGACTCTTAAGATATCAGCAAAGATGTAATGTATCTCGATTCTTACCATCGTCGTAAGCCGGCTCCAGGAACCTCCTGAAGGGAATAAAGGCTCTACCCCACAGCGGCTTCCTGAGGTTGTTACAGCTGCCGTCCATGGTCCGATACGGAGAGGAGGAATCACAGTCGATGTTGATGAACTGGTCACAGTTGTCATCATCTGTTTCCAGTCCCTTCACCGCGACCCCTAGTTGTCCTAGCAGGGAGTCCATGACACTCGCCATCGCAATCTTGGTAACATTGAGCCTGGAAGCATTTCAATGTAGAATGACACCTCCCTGTGGACTCATATGGTCTCATCTGTGTCGTTAGAGGCCATAGTGAGTGAGTGAGTATGGTTTTACGCCGCTTTTAGCAATATTTCAGAAATATCACGGCGGGGGACACCAGACATGGGCTTCACACATTGTGCCCATGTTGGGAATCGAACCCGGGTCTTCGGCGTGACGAACGAATGCTTTAACCACTAGGCTACCTTTGATTGTCAGTAACATGTTCATAGATTTCATAAAATAAGGTCAACGTTTTTTACTTGTGTCACTTTGGGTTGCCTCCTAAATTAAGTGACACGTCGTGATATAACCGACATACTGTTCACATCGGTGTATAACTCACTCACTAACTCTTCGGGTGTAGTGGTTAAAGGTGAGGACCTGACGGAGGATTGCATTTTTTTCAAATAGTTGATATTTTGCATCTTGTAATATTTAGCCATATTTTATCTGACAAAACATCCATGAATAGACGTAAATTCTAAGGTGAAATTGGTCATTACGTTTTATCAATAAAACACCTCAAAAGGGACCTTGCAAAATAAATCAGGAAAAGGGTGTTATCGAACATTTATTGTTTAACATCCAACTCACACATCAATAAGTTGATTCATGAGAACATTCTTGACTCTCCCCTCCTTTCCAATCTGAACCGCCTTCTCCTTACTCGGCGTGAACATCGCTTTCATCGCTGTAGTTGATGACGATTCCATTGTGTCAACACCTGTTGATATCAACCGCCTATTCACTCAACAGCGAATGTCCGTATTGCCATGGCTAAGTGTACACAAAGTTATCAAACATACAAGATTGAATACATTCTGGCCAATTCACAACATGTTACGTGTTTCATATGACGTCATCTGCTTGTGACGTTATAACAACTAACCCTGTTCACATCTGGAGTTACCGTGCCGAGACCACAGGCGGTAGATCTAATTCACCGTAAACACGTGATGATAAATTCGAGACATGTGTCACTTGCGGAGTGTATGAGATTTTACGAGATGAACATTCGTGAATTGTAAGCTTGTAAAATGCTTTTCACCACGTTAGTGACATATGTTTGTTTGTTTCTTTCTTTGTTTTTAACGCCGCACTCAGCAATATTCTAGCTATATGACGGCGGTCTGTAAATAATCGAGTCTGGACGAGACAATATAGTGATTGATATCATGAGCATCGATCAACGCAATTGGTATACAGACAGACAGGTTTATTCAGTATTATGGCCATATGGCCTAAAGTACAATTGATACTAACTCATAATATGATGTCACGTGCATATACAGAAATTACATCTTCTTGAATCTGATAGAAAAAACATGCTTTATATAAGTAGCCACTGAAAAGATAACATGTCTATTTTGTGAGTTGATAATATTGATCATTAACATTTCAGATTTATAGTCATTATTCAAGAAGTGGATATTTGTAGATCTTAACTTGGAATACTTGTTACACTTAAATAAGACATGGAATTCTTCTTCAATTTTATCTCTGTCACAATTGGTACAAACACTGTTGACAGCATCAATATCTTTCGATTTACGACACATATTTACATTAAAATTATGTGATGAGATTCTAAATTTACAAAACGATCTTATTAATGACTTGTCTCGTAAGACAGAGTAAATACAGTTCCCGTTGAAGATATATCTTTAGTTTACTATAATTTACTAAGATAATGCGAAGAGGAAACAGTTTCGTTCCAGTTTTGTGCAAATATATCTTTCACTCGCTGCTTAAATATTCCCATAAATACTTGAATGTTTCCAATATCCTGTGCAATCCACACAAAAGAAAAACCACATGTAAATAATAGATTTCTTACTTCAGATACCCAGTTTTGTTTATCATCCAACTGCTTTAACAATTTATAACATTGAAGAGGATATCTACATTCTTCCATTTTTAGTAACCTTATCCAGTATTTAACTACTCTTACTTGGCTATGCACAAAGATATTGCAGCGCCCAAGTTCACTAAGAATTGCTTTATTTGAGGCATATTTTCCAATACCCAAAAAGCGTTTAAAGTATGAGGTATGTACTATTTCGATGGCAGCATACTATTTTGTTCCCCATAATTCAGAACCATACAGTAATATTAGTGCAATATTACAATAAAAAAATATTTCATACTGTTGAAAATGATTTATACTTATTTTGTTTAAACAATTTATACACAGGCATACATGCTTTTGAAGCTTGAATAGCAAGTTGTTTACATGGTACTGACCACATTAATATTATATTTATAGTAAGTTTCACCTTGACCGAAGCATTTCCATAAGTCCACTTTTCCCTTTTGGCAACAATACCACCATTTCTAAAGACCATTATGTTCGTTTTATTTAAATTTACCTCCAGTCCCCATTTCAAACAAAATGACTGTAATACATTTAATTGTTTTTGTAAACCGCTTACTGCAAATGAAAACATTACAATATCATCAGCAAACAAAAGCATCATAATATCAACAATATCTTCATGGACAAATATACCATAATTACATTGTTTATGAATTTCAATAACAAGTTCATTGATAAAGAAAATTAACAAAACAGGACTCAAAATGCAACCCTGTCTCACACCTCGGGACGTTGAAAAACAATCTGTTTTACCCTTGTCAGTCATTATATATGCTTTTACTGATGAATACATACTTTGCTGAACATTAAACATTTTCCCATGGGAACCCTTGATTACAAGTAGATACAGTAGCTTTTGCCTATCCACAAAATCGAGGGCTTTCTTAAAATCAACGAAAGCACAGTAAAAACGTCCCTTCGGTTTGCATATATATTTCGAGCACAATGACTATAAATGTACATATTATCTATGGTAGAATAGTTAGACCCAAAACAGGCTTGAGATTCCGTTATATAATCATTAATTTCCATCCATGTTCTCAACCTTTTTTCTAACACAAAAGTGAATAACTTGGCAGTAACATTTAAAGAGAAATACCTCCGTAATTATTTGGGTCCGCCTTTTTTCCAGATTTGTATAACGAGATAATCATACCTAAGTTCCACGAAGAAGAGAAAATACCTGTATTTAATACTTTGTTAAATAGTAATTTCAAAAAGGGAATGAGAAACGGTCCCGCACACTTAAAAAACTCTGAAGGTAATCCGTCCTCTCCAGGTGCTTTACCGAGTTTTAGATTGGAAATGGCTTCTTCTATCTCGTATGCAATGATTTCGTCTGATAAATCATTACTAAAATATATACTACAATTTTCACAAGAATGGTTATCAAGGAATTGGGAAACCGAAAGATCAAATTCAGAACAATCTTCTGTAGTTGCAGGGTTCAATAAAGTTTTAAAATAGGAATGGCCAAACGTCAGGTGATATTGTATTACTAGAGTTCTTGTTTTGTAGTGCACGTTTAAGTGTATCCCAGAATCTCTTGCAGTCATTATACTTTGCAGCTGCATATATCGCATCACTCATTTTCATATTATAGATTTTCTTCTTTCTTTCACAGCACATTTAAAAATCTGCCTTTGCATCAATGTATTTTTGCAAATTTAGCGCACAGTTATATTTTCTGAACTTGTTCAGTAGTCTATATTTCTCTGATTTGAATTGAACACAGTCTTCATCAAACCAAGGAGGTTGTGATCTTCTAGTTTGCTTAGATGCTGTATCATAAGCTCCTCCACGTAGAGCACTGTGAATCATAATTTCAGATAGTTTGTCAATGGTTTTGTTAATGTTATCATCTAATATCACTGAGAATTGTTCATACATAATCTGACTTGTAGTATTCGGAAGACATTGTAAATAAGACCCAAAGTTTCCAACCTTTAGAATATATCTAGGAACAGTCTCCACTATACCATCTGTGGTTTCTGGTGATTCTATTACTTGATTGTATATTACATTTTTACCATGACATGCATCAACCAAGTCACCAAGCCTGACCACCTGATCCCGTTAGTCGCCTCATACGACAAGCATAGTCGCCTCTTACGGCAAGCATGGGTTGCTGAAGACCTTTATCTACCCTGATCTTCACGGGCCATGTGACATATGTAACTACTAATATTGTATATATTGTACATTTACTATCAACACATGTTTCAGATCAAAACGTCCAACTCTTTTTTTTGTTTGAGAACCATTCGATAACAGTAAATGAATCACATTGTATTCTGAACAAGTAAAATTCATCTGATTTAGTCATCAAAACAAGTTCAAATTTCCATCTGTGATATGTCGTAACAATTATTTATTTTTTTGTTATATATTATTATGAAATTCTACATTGTACCAAAAGAAAAACAAGAATGCCTTCGATACAGTTTTCTAAATCTCACGAATTTCAATCTTTCTTTTTTACATGCAGGATGAAACAAAACAACATCTTTACCTGCCAGGAAGAACATCATATCCCACTTCTGGATGGTGGTCACTGCAGTGATGGCCATGTTCTGGATCATCACATTCATCCCTGGGTTGTTTACAATTATGGCAAAAGCGTTGGTTCCGGGGATTTGTGTTAATTCTCCTCTGACGATTTGAGTGTTGACGTAACGGCCATTTTGGATATTTCCATTCTGACCATTGAGGCTCTGCGTTAGCTGTCCAAGATCCAGGCCCTGTCCACTCAGTTGCTGACTGATCTGATCAAGATTGACGGTTTGTCCTATCTGGCCAAGATCTACGACCTCCCTATTCTGATACTGGTTAAAAAAGTTTTGATAATTCTGATTTTGGTTTGGTCCTGATTGACCTCGGTCGGTCCCACCCTGTCCCCTCTGACCTTGACCGTTCTGATCCTGTCCAAAATAACCTTGACCCGTTCTACCCTGACCTTGACTGTCCTGGTCCTGTACGAACTGTCCTTGACCCCTCCCACCCTGACCCTGACCGTTCTGATCCTGTCCAAACTGACCTTGGTCTATCCAACCCTGTCCCCCCTGACCCTGACCGTTCTGGTCCTGTCCAAACTGACCTTGACCGTTCTGATCCTGACCAAACTGACCTTGACCGTTCTGATCCTGACCAAACTGACCTTGACCGTTCTGATCCTGACCAAACTGACCTTGACCGTTCTGATTCTGACCAAACTGACCTTGACCCATTTGACCCTGATTCATCTGACCTTGTTCGTTCTGACTAAAGTAGAATGCCCGAACCGTGTCCAGCCCCAGCAGAGCCAGCACAGCCACCACCAACACTAGAACGTGATCCTTCATTGACACACTGAGAATATCCCTAAAATACCGGAATGAAGTAACGGTTTGCTGCGGTGCAACACAGAAATCAACTCCCACAATCCGGTCGACGCTTTAAGTAGCAGGGTAACTGAATTAGCATTAATAGTCCAAACGTGCGTGTTAGGAACAACGTTCCCACACAAGCCTCGCCAACGTCTGTGTAATCCAAATGGGAGAACACGTTACGTGGACACCTATTTTATGCTCATGTCAACCCGACAGTCATTGTAACCTCCGTCACATGGTAATGTCACAGTTTCCTTGCAAACTGCACCCTGCTGCATGGTAGAGGATCTGTTTACACTTCGCCGCCCCTGTCAAATAGTACATGTGTGTGCCATAACACGACGACGTAACTACAAAACCATCCGGCAACGTCAACACACACTTCCCGTAGTGGCTCGGCATGTCAATGAGGACTTCTACAAACAACGGATGTTTGAACAGAAGCTACTAAGTACAAATGTTGATGGAACGGGTTTATTATATACGCGACAGTACATATAATTAGTTGCTAAACGTTTACAACCGAATGCAGTTTACATCAACAGGTACTAAGCATCGGTTGGACTTCTTGGGTATAAAACTTCCATTTTCCCATGTTTTATGTCAAAAGAGAGCCATCCGAAATTGCTAAACGTTTGGAACTGTGCTCCTAATCAACGGGAATTAAGCATTTTTGGGTGGCTTGTTAAATTTAAAACATTAAAAAATGCACTGACAAAGATGAAAGCTTTGGAATAAATATTTTGGTCGAACACGAAGTCCACTGGCGCCGAATATTTGCCTTGATTTATCGAGGTGCTTACACGCGTAGGAAATTGCTATTATAACTACAAAGATATATTTCTAGTGTTGTAATCCACTTATTTATACTTCATCGGCAAAGCAGATTTTTTTAAGCGATTGAAATAGTTTTTTTAATTGGTCTTACAAAAGCTTTTATTCAAAATTAATGTATTTCTTTGTCAAGTAATGAGTTGAGTGCAAGTTATTGAGTACGTAGAGAACAGAGGAAAATAAATAAACATCACAGTTTTTATGCAATTCTCTTTGCCCGAACAAGAGATTGTTGCAAACGAATGAACATTTACATCTCAACATGGTGAGGGGCGGTCGGGTAGCCTAGTGGTTAAAGCGTTCGCTCGTCACGCCGAAGACCCGGGTTCGATTCCCGACATGGGTACAATGTGTGAAGCCCATTTCTGGTGTCCCCCGCCGTGATATTGCTGGAATATTGATAAAAGCGGCGTAAAACCAAACTCACTCACTCAACATGATGAACAGGAACATAGTTCGGATCGTGAATTATAAACACTCACGAACCGAGAGTTACATGTACGAGAATATGCTCTAACCTAACACACATCCCTACTTTCTCAAACATACATCCCCATGTTTTTTTATGATTTGACAAAACATTCTTTCCTGGAAGATATTTGCCAATTAAACGAGAACTCTTTGCATTTGAACAGTGCGAGGACAGTGTGCGTGGTGCACTTGGAGTGTGTCCTGCTGATGTGGCACGTGCGCCTCGGTTTTTACAATGCATGGTACAAGGCTCTTTACACTTTCGTTGGGTCCTGAACGAGCATTTTATCAATCGATGGCGCGTTTTGCGAACATGCTGACAAGGACATGGGAGCCCTGAGCCAAGGATATATACCACTCAAAAGAAGTTGTAGAACACTCCATGACAAATTAACGACAGTAATATGAAAGAATCGGATGTTCTTTAACTTCTTTTGAGTAGTTTGAGTAGTCCATGTGTTTATCCACACCACACATGTATCCACACAAGACACGCACAGACGCACACATGTCCATTGTGGGGTGTGTGTATGTGATTGTTTCATGTGTGTGTGTGTGTGTGTGTGTGTGTGTGTGTGTGTGTGTGTGTGTGTGTGTGTGTGTGTGTGTGTGTGTGTGTGTGTGTGTGTGTGTGTGTGTGTGTGATTGTTTCATGTATGTGTGTGTGAGTGTGTGTGTGCATGTGTGTGGCTACTTGTTCTAGTCCGGACTAATGCCTATCATATAGTGCTGGGCCATTGAGATACCATGGCGCAGTTAAACACGTATACGCCACTCAGACACAGTACAACTGACTCCAAGACGACCTGTGCTTGTTTTAGTCCCTTAATGCCCAGAGCCAGGCAGTGTAACAACAAGTACCATCTTTAACGTCTTTTTGTATGACGCGCCCTGGACCTTCCGCTCTCCTGGCGGACGCGACCGCCTCCGTGGTCTAGTAGTAGGTCGTCCGCCCGGAGAGCGGATGGTCCGGGGTTCGATCCCCGGCCGCGTCATACGAAAAGACGTTAAAAGATGGCACCCTGTCTGACGCTCGGCATTAAGGGGCTAAAACAAGGACTGGTCGGCACGGAGTCAGTATACTGTGTCTGACTGGTGTATTTATGTTAAACTGCCGCATGGTATCTCAGTGTGCTAGCACTTTCAATCGGCATCAGTCCGGACTAGTACAAGCAGCCACACACACACACACGTACATGCACGTCGCTATATAAGTGCAATGATCTTGGACGCGACGTTAAACCCCATTTCACCTCACCTCATCTGGCGGACACTCTACCACTAGATCACGGAGGACCTCTTGAAAAGCATAGCAGTTACAAGGCATTCCTAGAACTTCAAATACACGTCAGCTGCTAATGCTACTTAAACATATAGGGAGTTCGCCAAAAATAACTGACATTTTCGGACAACCATGTTTGTTAGTACACTCGTAAAAATACTCGCCCAATCACCCACGCATTGAAAAAGACGAACCCAGTCACTTCACGGGATGTTCAACGACACAAAGCAGATACATTCAAATAGCGTTGTGTCGAAGTTGAAGTGACCTACATAAATACTTCGAGTTATCCGAGGTTCGACATAACCGAAAAATAACTTAGCATACATCTATCGATTGACATGAAGAATGAAGAAACATATGTGACAAACACACAACGAGAAAATGAATTAAATCGTCGTGCCGAGATCGTCATATTAGAGTAATTTTGCGCTGGAAGTACGTTTGGGACTGGAAAATAACTTCAAGACAATACAGAAATGTTCGACACAACAGTGTTTGATTGTATTTCAATCTATTGTTAAATTGAAACTACATGTATATGTTCTGAGTGAGTGAGTTGGGTTTAACGCCGCTTTGAACAGAATTCCAGTTATATCACAGCGTATCAGCTAATGTGGGAGGAAACCCCGAAGTGATGCAGGTCTTGTTTATCACTTTCATGACACCAACAAACTTAAAAACAGTCAGAGAGAACCGGGTTTCGAACCCACAATCCTAGGTTTCAGGTTAGGGGAAGGGACGCAGCTCTGCACAGCGAATCGCGGCGTCTCACAGGTTCTAGACAGAACCGGTTGTGACAGTGCGGTTTGAGTGTAGATCGAGAGATATCTTCAGGCTGTGATTGGATGATATTGTGTAAGATTTTTATGTCTTTTAAATGTACATCCATCCAGTAATTAAAACTGACCAAAATTTGCAGCTTTAAGGCCAGACTGTGCATATATGTACATGTAATGGTTGTTGAATGCCTAGTTATTTTAAAAAAAAATATAACGTTACTATAGAAGTCTTTGGGAAAACATTTGGTTGTGTGTTATCATCGACGACTGGGTCCCCCTCTAGGTTCTGACGGTTGAATACATGAACTTGTAAACATTGATAAACTTTTTTCATCCCTGCATTCAGAGATTGATTATTATTCTCCTATACCTGCAGTGTTTCATTTTAATTTGGGTGGCGTTTATTTCGCGTTTTTTACGACCACAAAACATGATGCACGGTTACCTATCATGATATCATTATTCATCATGCCGACTGAATTCCCATAGGTCCATACAGTGACATGTCGATCATAATCCGAGTATTGAATATGTGACGCACTGCATTCAGCCCTCCTCAAAATGACTGGTACCAGATGTATGTGTGCTGCGACAGCTTTAATAGAGGAAGAGATGGAATCTTGGCGCGTGTATTCAAACGAAGGTTTTGTTAGGACGAGATTAAAGTGCAGGGTAAAAAAAGTTTTCAAGAGGTCATATTTGTATCAGTGTGCGAGGTCATATTTGCGGCAGTAAGTGGAGTCACACCTTAGAGTAAAAGTTAGCAGCGCTTGAGTTGCAGCAGCATTGGCAGCAACATTTGACCAGGTATACAAGTTCGTCTACAAAGATGCTTTGCATGTGAATAATAATGGAGGTTCGTCCATTCGGGATTACTTTCCCTTGGACCACCTGGTTAATTTTTTATACATAAAATAATAGGACAAGTGCATTATACACTTCGTCACGTAACCAGTATCTTTGCCAGTGTATGTTTAGATCATCTCGTTGTCTTTGCGTTAGGTTGGTAAATGTTGGATTTTGTTCATTCCACTGTAAACCGTATACAAAAACAATCCCTCCACATATAGCAGGGAAAGAATGTTTTCGTGTACATTAGAAATGAGGTATTTAATTTGATAATGATCACCAGATGTCAAGCAGCACTTTATATCCGAAGGGTCGAAACTGCCGCCAGGTCGTTTTGTCTATTGTAATAGTCACGTGAACTAGCAAAACTGGTAAATCTATTTCCTAAATGCATTCCTCCAACTTCTGGTCAAGACTGGAGGTTTGAGGTGAGCCAAACGTCGAGCACCCCAATAATTCAATGGTTGAATTTATATTTCTGTGATATGCAGCATTTTCATGTTAGTTGCCACTGCCTCTGTTAGTATACATCACGTACTTTAACCTGGATGCCATTAAGTTGAGTACATTTCAAATCTAAGGATATATAAAATCACAATTTAAACCACATCAATATCATGCTATTTATTACTATTCCCTACATTAAAACCGGGGCGCTGGAGTAGTCAAGTGGTTACAGCATTCTCTCGTCACGCCGAAAACCCGGGTTCGATTCCCCAACATGGGTATGTGTGAAGCCAATTTCTGGTGTCCCCGACGTGTTTTGCGTGAATATTGCTAAAAGCGGCGTAAAACTATACTCACTCACTACTTTAGCATTACTCAAACAAACTTGTAACACATGAAGCGTACCCTTCTAATCCGGCGTGGTCAATTTTATTTCAAGCTTTACTACATTTCTTTATAAAAATAGCAAAAATGGCTTGGACGAGTATTATGTATCAAGAAAACGTGGCTTCATTTTGTTTCAGTTACAGTAGAAAGTAGAAATAAGTCTATAAATGCTTTTCGAACAGTCTGTTTTCCTTGTTCCACAGTTTTTAGATTCTGAACTTGGCCCAACGCAGCTGGGTTGTCCATAACTTCCAGAGGATGGACAAACCCTCTTCCTCCATCTCTTACCACTGGTACATGTCCCCCACCTCCCCCAAGCCCCCCACCCAGAGTCACGGGCAGCCGTGCACCGCTTCGCCTCACTGTCCCGCCCTGAACACAAGAGGAACCCTCCAGTACAACTCCTTCTCCTCGCCTGCATCCCGTTGGCACAGGATGACCACTGTCCCCAACTTGACCAGTTACTTCTGGTGTCCCCGCAGGGCTTCCTCTGAGAGCCATGTCCCAGACATACGGAGCCGGGAAGACATGATCTTGACCTTGTGCTGATTATACCGTTACAGTTGCTCCACTGACCCCAGTCACCCCATCCTCTTCTATTTCCGTTTCCATTTCCGTTATTGCCGTTGTTGCCATTATTGCCATTTCCGTTATTGCCATTGTTGCCATTATTGCCATTACCGTTGTTGCCGTTGTTGCCATTTCCGTTATTGCCGTTTTTGCCATTGTTGCCATTATTGCCATTACCGTTATTGCCATTATTGCCATTTCCATTATTGCCGTTGTTGCCATTTCCGTTGTTTCCACTACCTCCATTCAATTCCCTAGCTGCTGGATCATCGGACCACGGATTTAATGGAGTCTGAGTTAATTCTTGACAACTCTGCCGTTGGTTTCTGGAAATAAGTTTTATTACAGTTTCCGTCCGTCGGAAATGTTGATAGGGCTTGCCACTATATATTCGCATGCAATACAAGTAGATATATACGTTGATATTAATTCTCAGACCATGGGTTTAATTGGGGCTGAGTTAAGTCTTCACAATTCTCTCGTTGGTTTCTGGAAATAAATTGAACATGCAATTCCAGGATAGATTCAAATCAACATGCGGTATTAAAATAAACAGACATTATAAACTGTAAATACAGAGATAACATGCATATAAGTACATACTACTAATACTACTTGTAATAATATCGAATACATTCAGACGATTCCATTGATCAAATTAAGGGATCGACCATCTGCTATTCAGAAGGGGTCCTGGGATCTTTTTGAAAAAATATTCTGTTCCAGAAAAAAATAGAAAAACAAAATTTGTCCTCAGGTTTACCCAAAACAAATTGTTTGCTGGCCACACGTGCTGTGAAAAAAATAAAACAGTCTGCTCCTTCTTTCCCAGTAACAAACTGCGTGTTTTGAAGCAATGACCAAACAAATGTCCAAAACTCCAGACCCCCAAGAATATTATTATGGTTCGACCCAAATTATTTGTTCTTCGAAAAAGGTACTTAAAGAAAATTAGAAGTGACGTTTTCTTTGAAACCAAATTCATCAGATTTCTTTTTCACATTTTATTATCTGCCATATTTGTTCAAGAAATCGTTATATAAATAGTTGGGGCATGCTTTCTATGTTTGATAATCTTCGACATAAGCAAAAGCTATATATCAATATATTTGTTCATTATTTGGTGATATAATTCCGAAGAGGGATTAATGTGTTTCGGGGTAATTATGATAACAGTAAACTACGTTTATAACGAACTCGAAGGGACCACTCATTTTAGTTCGTAATAACCGTAGTTCGTTATAAGCATACATACAGCATTTATACCATAAATGGTCGGGACAAAAAACAAGTTCGTTATATCGGTCAGTTCGTTATAAGGGTGTTCGTTATAAACGTAGTTTACTGTATTACAACATGCAGACTACTCACTGGTTCCTGACCACTCTGAGAGCGGCGGGTTGCATGGTGCGGATGTCTGTGTTATCACACAGAACCTTTGCTAGGGTGGTCTCTTTGATGACATTCACCTGGGCTGAAGGAACAATGATGGTGATGCAATGTTATGCATTCATGCCATTTAAACATCAATCTCATTAACATCCGATATTTTACTCAAATCCGATAACTCTCTGCGAGTCCGGTGTGCATCTGTACCCAGTTCCTCTACAAAACAACGAATGGGGAACAAACCTGTGGTGAATCCAGTAGTGCTGTCCTCCCTCTCGTACCAGAACCTGTCCCCGACCTTCAGCGCCTTAAACTGGTTAGCCAGAATACAGGCGAAGGTGGGACCAATAAGGCCACCCCTGATCCTTTTCTCGGACATACCGCCAGCAAACAAGTCAATGTCGTTAGGGTGGCTGAAAACAAACATATGTGTTGGATATTAAATGACCCATGAATCCTAGCTTTGTCAGTCAGTGCGTGTGATATGGCATTACAATGGGAAATGTATTCCTGGCGGTTGATTTTCTTACAGTTTCCCGATCAAAGGTTTCTTACTGGTTAACGCCGCAATATCTGACGGTCTGTAAGCAATCGATTCTGGACCAAAACATCAAGTTATTAACATCATGAGCATCGATCTACGCAATTGGGATACGATGACATGCCTCAACCAAGTTAGCGAGCCTAACCACCCGATCCAGTTAGTCGCCCCTTACGACAAGCATGAGCTTCTGTAGACTAATTCTAATCCGGATCGTCAAGGGTGTCGATCTAAGTCTATGTCGTCAACGTCTAAGTCAATAGACTAAGGTTGTAAAGCTGTTTTCAGCAATATTTCAGCTATAACACGATTTCAGCTGTAAATGCCTCCTAAACTTTTGCTCAGGTTGGCAACTAATCTTGGGCGATCGGCCCGAAAAAAACTTTTACTATAAGCACTGTGCTACCCATCACAAACACTTTCAAGGAATAGAGCCAGACAGATAGTAGATTGTATTCAAACCTAGTACTGACGTGTGATATTGAGGAAACAGCGAAGATCAGTATGCTGAGTGAATGGGCGAGAGATTGGTTTAATAATGCCTATTTCGTAATTCACACTGGGTAGGCCTTATGTGAGAGAAAGGCCAAAAATGGAGTGGACGCTGGTCATGTGGGCTTGGTAGGAGGAGAAACACAACTGTTGACCTCTAATGTAGATGTTGGCTTCTTTGTCGAAAACCGACGTAAAGTGTTCACAGACCAAAGATCATAACTGAGGCGAACTTAATCAGGAATGTAAAGACACAACAACAAAAAACATACTCATAAACCCTCCTCAGCTTTTTGACTGCATGGGATGGGTGGTCAACAAGCCCTCCTTGACCACTGCTGAATTTGCTAGCGGTTGGAAGACCACACCACCTCCGCCATTGGTTGTAACCAGGCAACCCGTGGTCTCGACCTCTCTGGATGTTGAGAGCAGCAAGGTCAAGGCTGTGACCTTCCCCATCTTCAAAAAGGTGTTGAGTTACTTGGGGGCTTATAAATCTATCAGCGTCACTCGTGGCGTCGCTGACGAGGCCACGAACGTATCTTTCAACGCCGTTACCATTGTCCATGATGAGATGAGAAGTGTTGCCAAAACTCCATTTCAGTTTCAGGTCTTCCTCTTTGCGGTAGTTCCGGCCATACTGAGAGAACATCGTCCGTACCAGCGAGTGTCCAAATCTAAAAATAGTTGAAGGTGAGCTACTGAGCTTCAGGGTAACCGTGTAGGATCGTGTATGGCCGGTATTTAAACCTTGAAGGATCGTGTATGGCCGGTATTTAAACCTTGAAGGATCGTGTATGGCCGGTATTTAAACCTTGTAGGATCGTGTATGACCGGTATTTAAACCTTGTAGGATCGTGTATGGCCGGTATTTAAACCGTGTAGGATCTTGTATGGCAGGTATTTAAACCTTGTAGGATCGTGTATGGCCGGGTTTTAAACCTTGTAGGATCTTGTATGGCCGGTATTTAAACCTTGTAGGATCGTGTATGGCCGGTATTTAACCCGTGTAGGATCTTGTATGACAGGTATTTAAACCTTGTAGGATCTTGTATGGCCGGTATTTAAACCTTGTAGGATATTGTATGGCAGGTATTTAAACCTTGTAGGATCGTGTATGGCAGGTATTTAAACCTTGTAGGATGTTATATGCCCGGTATTTAAACCTTGTAGGATCGTGTATTGCCGGTATTTAAACCTTGTAGGATCTTGTATGGCAGGTATTTAAACCTTGTAGGATCTTGTATGGCCGGTATTTAAACCTTGTAGGATCGTGTATAGTCGGTATTTAAACCGTGTAGGATCTTGTATGGCAGGTATTTAAACCTTGTAGGATCGGGTATGGCCGGTTTTTAAACCTTGTAGGATCTTGTATGGCCGGTATTTAAACCTTGTAGGATCGTGTATGGTCGGTATTTAACCCGTGAAGGATCTTGTATGACAGGTATTTAAACCTTGTAGGATCGTGTATGGTCGGTATTTAAACCTTGTAGGATCTTGTTTGGCAGGTATTTAAACCTTGTAGGATATTGTATGGCAGGTATTTAAACCTTGTAGGATCGTGTATGGCAGGTATTAAAACCTTGTAGGATCGTGTATTGCCGGTATTTAAACCTTGTAGGATCTTGTATGGCCGGTATTTAAACCTTGTAGGATCTTGTATGGCAGGTATTTACACCTTGTAGGATCTTGTATGGCAGGTATTTACACCTTGTAGGATATTGTATAGCAGGCATTTAAAGAATTGATAAAGAAGTCGTATATATGGATCGTTCAGAATGAGAGCGAGCATGTCGTTTTATGCATTCAGCAATAATACAGCTATATAATTAAGAAATAAACAACGAGTGGGGTTGTTTATGGTACAATAAAACAGTGTACGGAGAATAAACCACGAGGGCCTGCAGCGTTTATTACAAGGGTAACGCTCTTTTTCAGGGTATTACCATTTGCAGAAGCCCGAGGTCTTCCATTAACTATCCCTTTTTGGACGGGTGGGGGGTAAGATATTTCCCGGATATTCGCACAATTTTCACGTCAATTGACTGTACCTTTTTCCTTTTTCCCCCAAAAAACTTACGTCGTCCAATTTACGATATCATCAAGTTGCGAGCGCATGTTCGAATCTCAGATATGACGTCATGATAGGACAATGTGTTATCGTGAAATAAAGCACACACAAATAGACACACTTCGTTCTTCGTTGTTCTTTGCGATTTATCGCGTAGCTATTTTATTTTCGCGGTTAATGAGTGAGTGTGCGAGTGAGTGAGTTGGGTTTAACTCCGCTTTTAACACTATTCCAGTTATATCGCGGCGTGTCAGCTTAATGTGGGAGGAAAGCTCGAAGTGATGTAAGTCTCAGACGTTTACCACTCCGGTGAAACCCACGAGCACGGGTATGGTGCTGACAAACCTAGAAACATAATCGGGGCGAACCGTGATTCGAACCCGCAATCACAGATTTCTGGCGTGTCCAAGGGACGCAACTCTGCACAGCGAATCGCGGTGCCTTAGACGACTGGGCCACCCGTGCCCCTCGCGGTAAATGAATAATGGAGTCTGATGGCAAATGTTCTATTAAGTCGTTAACAATACCGTTTTTACATTCATGTATTCATAGCCTTTTGTAATCATGCGTGTATGTTTCTACCGCTCATTACTCATACCTGAAGGCTGCTGTTGCAAACGCGTTCCTGATGCTTGGATCGACGCTGGGATCATACTGGTCTTGTAAACCTTGGCGTCTTGACATCAGGCTAAACTGTCTCCTTATGTCATCATTCAGGACAATCTGCAGAAACTCATTGTATGTAATGTGTTGAATTTTGGCGCCCACGATCTTCCTGGTTTCCTGAAACAATTTCTCGTCGTCCCAGGGTGGGTTTAGACGGCTGAGCTCCCGGGCCATGCGGTTGTGCTCCCTCATCCACAATGTGTGAAGGGTAGCCAGACCCATCTGCTCGTTCACCCGACTGTCACCTATAACCACGGTAAACGACTGTGTGTAAGACAAGGATGCTCTCTCTCACCATAACATTTATCTTAAAATGTCGGAAAATTTCATTTAAGAAATAATATAATTGTACTATTTTATGGTGACTTCCGATACAATAAATAATACACAATATCTTCATTAATTGTATTCCAGACAGATCAGGTTTCCTCAAATATATTAGTAATCTTCGGATACAGTGAACCCAAATGGGCCCTCATTAGAAGCTGGTTAAGCCGGAGTTCGTCATACAAATAGACAGATGTCAATCATATACTATAATTCTGTTGACTGTAAATATATGTGCATTATTATCAAACAGTTGTTGTGAGCTGGAATGTGTTACATGAGTCAGAACAGGATCATCGTACACTGAAAATGTTTTGTTTATACATTTACCCGCTTTGAAACAAAAGTCTGATCGCTTTATCTTCAGGCACGATGGCTCCGAGTCCTCGGGAAGCAAATTGTTACGAGATGTTTTGAGAAGACCTTAAAAATAAAATGATATAGCATCCTCGCCTGTTTAATTGGGATACGGAACACACTGATATGATTTGTTTGTTTGGTTGGTTGTTTGTTTGTTTGTTTGTTTGTTTGTTTGTTTGTTGTTTAACGCCGCACTCAGCAATATTCCAGCTATATGATGGCGGTCTGTAAATAATCGAATCTGGACCTGACAATCCAGTGATTGACATCATGAGCATCGATCCACGCAATTGGGACCGATGACATGCATCAACTAAGTCAGCGAGCCTAACCACCCGAACCCGTTAGTCGCCTTTTACGAAAAGCATAGTCGCCTTTTACGGCAAGCATGGGTTGCTGAAGACCTATTCTACCCCGGATCTTCACGGGTCCACTGATATGAGGAAATATGTGCTTCACATGATGCCTGATGTATCCTGGAACACTGAAAGATGTATTTTACCATGCATACTGAAGTTGTTGAAAACCATGTACAACAATATAATCGCGATAACCTCAGGTTCCACACATCCAGTTCGATTTATCAGAGATCGAATTATAAGAATTTCAGTTCGAAATCAGCTCGACACAACTGAGTATGCGATACACTACAGCGTTCAAATGTAATAAGTTTCAATCTGTTAACAAGCAAAGCTATATGTACCTCCGCTGAACGCCCTCAAGTCCCGGGTCTCGCCATCAGATGACCCGTAGACCATTGAGCCGTCGATGAAGGCCGTGATTTGGTTCATCTGTTCCACCGGAGCTGCACAGAGATTGTAGGAACAACGTTACAACAGAAGTACCCATAGGCATGTCACTACTGGATCTACTTATATCACCCAAACACCGACCTCTCAAGCCCTTTTTACCTCCCGATCCACATTTTATGTCATTTTATCATATGAATACACAATGCCATTTAGAAAGTGGTCAAATATAACAAATGTTATATGGGATAACACTTTCTAGTAGTCCAGATCACGTACTTTGAGTACCCCTCTGATCTTCGGCCATGGGAGCCGTGCCAATTTACACTTGTCAGAGAGGTACTCAAAGTACGTGATCTAGACTACCAGTTGTCGGACTTCTTTTTTTAGTGGAAGCCTTGGTGGCTGAGTGGGTTAGATCGCTGACTTTGAGAGCTGGCGATTAGGTGTCTCACTCTGGCAAGTGTGGGTTCGAATCCCGAATGGGACTCAACCCAAATAAGTACGACACCCTGTTCTTTACTAAGAAAGAGTATCACATTATAACATTTGTTCATTTTATCATTTGTCCAGGGTTTTTAACTATATCCCGATTTCAAAATAATGTAGCTTTTGTTTCTTTATTCTGCAAAGTCATTTTCTGTTTCAGTTACTGGATGGCAATCAGCTGAATAACGGATGAAAGTCTACAGTGACACAGATGTTTCACCACCGAACACGGACGTGGTGCTTGAAGATCAAGCTCTGTGGGATCTGGAATTTGAATCAACCATCAGCGGATCCTGTTGGTGCTACGCGGCGCAACTTAGACGGCCGTGTCCCAATTGTGCTTGTTCAGATTTCTGTAGTTGTCAGTTGAAAGAGAGTTGATATAGGATTCTTGCCTTCTGTAATCCTTATTGTGTATAGGTATATTCAACTTACCTACCATACAGTCCGTGTTAGATATCTGGATTGACCTCACAAAGTTCATGCATCTTCTTGGACGAAATTTCGGGTCGCTCGTTTCGATTTTTATGGGAAAACAAATATCTCTTGAAAATAAACAGGAACAATACATAAATTAATAACATAGCAAAATTATTAAGAATATACACCGTAAAGGTAAAGAAATTACAATGTTTATTAAATATGAAGAATTGTTAGTTTTTTTCAACAAAAGAGGGGCGGTGGGGTAGCCTCGTGGTAAAAGCGTTCGCACGTCACGCCGAAGACCCGGGTTCGATTCCCGACATGGGTACAATGTGTGTAGCCCATTTCTGGTGTCCCCGCCGTGATATTGCTGAAATATTGCTTAAAGCGGCGTAAAATAATACTCACTCAACAAAAGAAATGTTCCCACCTCTCCTCTGGGGTCATGTTGATCCTGGACTTGCTGGCAGCGCTGACGTCATCCATGCAGCACCCTACGTTCGATCCCTCGGCACCTGAAGAGGTAGTAGGATATTATTTGTACAAACTGACCTTTTTCGTCAAAAACAAAGCGGGCACCCTACCCGGGAAAAGGTTTCAACAGAAAGCTGAGCAACCGAACTATGTTCAGCATAAACATACACTCCATATGATTATTATTGATTCTGTGTTTGTTTGTTTGAAGTTTAAAGCTGCACTCATCAATATTCCAGCTATATGACGGCGGCCTATAAATAATCGCGCCTGTGCGAGACAATCCAGTGTTTTACATCATGAGCATCGATTTACGTAATCGGAAATATGATAACATGCACCAACCAAGTCATCGAGCCTGACTACCCTATCCAATTAGTCACCTCGTACGACGAGTATTTTGGGGGCTGAAGACCAATTCTACCCCGGATCATCATAGGACTAGTAGTAGTAGCAGAAGTAGTAGTAGTAGTAGTAGTAGTAGTAGTAGTAGTAGTAGTAGTATCGTCGTCGTCTTCAACATCATCAACATCATCGTTTTGATGGATTCACGTCCTTATACATCATATCGAAAGCATGTAACAAAAAGGAAGTGCCTTATTTCTGCAAAATATCAAAATATATGTGCATGTACCTGACTGTATAGGGGTGCTGGTAATGTCGTGGTCAAGGAACTGCCCCCACTGCATCAGCATGTGCGCCGTCGCTCCGGCGGCGGACACCTTGTTGTCTGACTCATGAACCGCCAGGCTGACCTTGCGGGCCCCGGGGAGCTTCCGCCCATTCTGACCTGTGGTCCTGGGGTCTGACACGCCTGTACAGGAAGTAACGATGTGACCCGTAAACATTAACAAAATAAATACAAATATGTATTTTTCACACTTGATCAGTGTGTACAATTCGTGTGTGCAAAGATCAAAATATTCCATTTTAGGTTCAGTATAAAAGAAGGAATTAAACAGTTACACTATTTTATTATTTTCTGTAAGGGTACCATGCAGTGTTGACATACTGGTGTCACAGATGCGAATGTTGAGTTATGGTCCTGTGTGCAACAGAGGCATGAATCGTGAGGTTTGAGTACGACCGTCGTCATTATCATCATCCTTTGGATCATCGGGATTTATCAGGATTATCATCATACTCTGGATTATCAGAATTTTCATCATACTCTGGATTGACACGATTATCATCATACTCTGGATTGTCAGGATTATCATCATACTTTGTATTGCCTGGAGTATCATCATACTCTGGATTGCCAGGATTATAATACTTTGGATTGTTGGGATTATCATCATACTCTGCATTGTGAGGATTATCATCATACTCTTGGTTGCCAGGATTATCATCATACTCTGGATTGCCAGGATTACCATCATACTTTGTATTGTCAGGGTTATCATCATACTCTGGATTTTCAGGATTTTCATCATACTCTGGATTGTCAGGATTATCATCATACTCCGGCTTCTGGAACCAAGGTAACGAGGTAATGATAAAGAGTTATACAAGACTCGTAAGGCGTCTGACCGTCATCATATTCTGGGTCCTGGAACCTCCGCATCGGGATGAAGGCCCTGCCCCACAGTGGTTTCCGCAGGTTGTTGCAGCTGCCGTCCTCAGTCCGGTATCTGGAGGAGCTGTCACACCTGGTGTTGAGGAACTGGTCACAGTTGTCGTCCCTGGTCCCCAAACCCTGTACCTCCACACCTAGCGTCCCCAACAAGGTGTTGACAGCACTTGCCATCCGAGTCTTCGGGACATTCAGGCTAGAGGACATAGTACAGTCTACGTTACAATTATACAGCCTTATTTAGGCTCGCCATGGTTCCTGAATATATAAAACCGACAAAACCCTCTCTTTAATCAGAAGAAATCTACTAAAATCAGCCCATTGTACGATTCCGACAACATCATCGGCATGTGTTTATGAATTACTATCAATCAACTATATTCATTCAGTATTGTAGGCCATAGGCCCATGTTACAATGGTAATACAGGTAGTCGGCGAATTACCATCAAATATGGATGATACCCCGTGTTGCCGAAAAGGTGAGCGCATCCTACCCCAGCCGTGACACCCGTGACAAATACATGCAAGTGCAAGTCAATCATGAACCTGAATAAAACACGGGAACCTACTTATTCAAAATAGGGAATGGCATCAGACATTTTGACATTGATGCGTCAAATTTGGAAATGTCCTTCACATTTCTACCATTAAAATAATGAAAGCTAAAAACGTTTATCATTAAACAATACATTTTATTGTATTTTTATGATTTTAGACATAATTATGTTACAAAATGTAAATGTAACCAAGAGAATCTATATATTCAGTCATGTTATCACAGCCAGGTACAGGGATACAGAAGATAAGTATATCTGACTTAATTGGTGATGAAGCTCCATGCATGTACATCTAACTCACGGAATGCCATGTACAGGGAAATGGAAAAATGTTTATCTACGTTATTTGGTCGCCATTATGAAGTGATCTAAGTGAAGCCAAATGATAAGCAGATGTCCCGAATGACACGTAACGCGTAGAGAACAGACACGTAACGCGTAGAGAACGGACACGTAACGCGTAGAGAACAGACTCATAACGCGTAGAGAACAGACACATATGGCGTAGAGAACAGACACGTAACGCGTAATGAACGGACACGTAACGCGTAGAGAACAGACACGTAATGCGTAGAGAACGGACACGTAACGCGTAGAGAACAGACACGTAACACGTAGAAAACAGACTCATAACGCGTAGAGAACAGACACGTAACGCGTAGAGAACAGACACGTAACGCGTAGAGAACGGACACGTAACGCGTAGAGAACAGACACGTAACGCGTAGAGAACGGACACGTAACGCGTAGAGAACAGACACGTAACGCGTAATGAACGGACACGTAACGCGTAGAGAACAGAAACGTAACGCGTAGAGAACAGACACGGGAACACTCACAGTCCTGCAAGCTCTTTTATGAGCATATTCTTCGCTCTCTCTTCCTCTCCCATCTCCATGGCCTTCTTCTTGGTCACTGTGAACATCGCCTTCATTGCTCTCGTAGACGTCGTGTCCTTTGTGTCAACACCTGCAAAGATTAAATTAATATACCGTAAAGGTTAAAGGTATATAGTAAGTCATAATATCATGAGCATTTAATTCTGGCCCTTTCTGATTATAACAATTAAGCAAAGTTTACGAAAAGATAGACAAATATACTCGACAATTGTATATGATTTAGTTACCATTATATCTAAACAGATATATGATATAAAGATGTATCTTACATGCATGACGTGCACTGCCAAAAACACAAAACCCGTTGGGGGAAGGTATTACAAATCTTTAAATTAAACAGCATTGTATATTGTATGTAAAACGTAATGATTTTTTGGTGTTAATGATACCATTTAAGATTTCTTTGCGAAACATGTATAAACTATACACATTCTTATTTACCGTCCAGAATAACAAGTTTTCGGATTGACGAATCATGGTATACTTAATATCAGTTTATATACATGTATGTGTTCCCTCAGTAATCGCCAGAGAATAACCAGTCTCAATTATCCGTCCAAAAGGCAAAATAGCGGTGAATATTATATGAATGGATAACTGAAAATCGGTGATGATACCAGGTGTTCGCAAGAAGGGTAAGCATGTCCTGTCCTACCGGCAGCCCCCGCCAAGTCAAGTGAGCTAAATATATTCCATTTCAGACCAATTAAAACATGCCCATTAGTAAGAACGTCATCAGACTTTTTTTCAGTTAACATACACTTGTATTACATGCCCTGCAACATTGAAAACGAACATTGGGTCGGTCAAACTTCTGTTATTACCTGCTCTCAGGAACATCATATCCTGTTCCTTGACCATATTCATGGAAGACATAGCCATGTCCTTGACCGTGTTGGACATGCCAGAGTCTTGAATGATCACCCCGATCATGTCGGCCTGGCACGAGGCGGTCCGGACATTGTCCGAGAACAACAGGACCACCACCAACAACACACCAGCAAACTCCTTCATTGGAAGACAGTGACAATATAACCAATGCTTGAAAATTTGTTCCACAAAAACGTGTTGCAAAAAGAAAACCAGGAAATTTCACGGAGGTATTCGCTGGTATACTCCTCCAAACCACAGATGCACAGTTCTTTTAGTACCAGCGCCTATGAGAATGAATGGTCCAAACCTCAGTGATGGTGTATTTAATTGAAACGTAGACGTCCGTGTAACTTATACGTATTCAGTGGCAAAGTCACCTCGATACTCATTGTGACGCCCGCCACATAATAGTGAAACTAATTAAGTTGTAAATTGGCCAAATGTTCCTTGTGGCGACAGCGTCATGAGGACCCGACATTTACACTGCTCCGCCCCTGTTAAACATTGCTGAAACGATAGCTCAAATATACTACAAGGTGGGAACACACCTTTACCAATTAGTTACCTGACTTTATGCTGTCATTGACGAATACCAACACCTATAAATAATTTATTTGTGTATAAATATCGTAAGTCGTGTGTATACCTATACACACAAATAACAATTATTATCCGCTTGTAAAGCGCATAACATAAAATATCGTGTTCATCCCGACCAGAGGATCAGGGTGCACTCGTTTTGTTATTCTCAACTCCCTGAGAATTATACAACCCAAGCTGGCTGTGAGGCCAGAAGGTTCAAAGTCACATTACCATCGCATCCTACCGGGTACCCATTCATATATCTACATGTAACCTCATCAACACCTCACTGCAAGTGATCATCTTGATGTATGCTCATTAATATTACATACATATTGTAAAGGGACAATTTAATACGGCTTTTGTTTAATACATGTACAATTACGCCAACTAATCTTCGCACTCCTTGAAGTTCGGTTTGTCAAAGGCGTTTTCAACAGTGGGCTTGCTTTTTTGACGTTTGCTTACCTTCAGGATCAGTTGCCTTTACAATAAAAATACATCAGTGAGAAAAGGATAATAGATACCTATTGCAAGAAACAGTTTTGCACTTGAGCAAATGCCACTTTAATTACCTACATTGTAACGGTATGTCTTTCAACTAAAAGCATGCCTATAATATAACATTGTTGGGATTATAGAAAGTTAATTACTATGTGACGGAGAAAGGAGAATGGATGATGGTATTCGATCAAGTGAGTGCGTGAATGGATGTTGCTAAATGCCGCAGTCAACAACATTCCGGCAACGTCACCTCGGATTGTAAATAACTGAGCCTGGGACTGACAAACCAGTGATTGATATTATGAGCACGCCGTCGGGATACGATGACGCACTGCCAACCAATTCGCCTCGGCTGACTATTCGATTCAATCTAGACGCCTCATGTCAGTGGGTGATATTGACAACAAATATCATGTCCTGTTCCTTTTTGTCCGTCACAGTTGACTTATCTGAAGAAAATATTATTATTTATAATCAGAGATTGCAATTATTAAGTTATACCATTCAAATGGTTTTAACAAAACGTTTATCTACTGTACGCAGTAATATAATAGCATTCAACAGGTATTCGATCAATTGGGGACAGTAGCTGAAGCTTATCTCTAGATCTATTGTTCCAAGACTGCGGTCGGGTAGCCCAGTGGTTCGCTCGTCACGCCGAGGACCCGGGTTCGATTCCCGACATGGGTACAATGTGTGAAGCCCATTTCTGGTGTCCCCCGCCCTGATATTGCCGGAATCTTGCTAAAAGTGGCGTAAAACCATACTCACTCACTCGTGGTTTCCAAACCGTGTTCCCAACCGCTGGAATATTGCTAAAAGCGGCCTAAATTCATACTCACTCACTCATCAGGTAAAGATCAACGTTATCCATGTTTCATGCTACAACGTTTGTACTCGTACATTCACAAACACGTCATGCGCTTTCATGCATTCGTTGTAATATTTACATGTGCATACCCTGCAGAAAATACGGTTAAATTAGTTTTAACCCAAACTCGTGTTATTTATAAAAGGAACAAACAGTCGTTACGCCTGTTCAGGTAACGAGAAACGTTGGATGGATACATGTGTATTTGCTAAGATTATTGTAAATGCACGGAGGGAATGGCAGTGCATGTTCTTGCCAAGCAATAGGGGTGAAACTAGGTGTGTTATTTGAATGTCATTTCCAATGTTTATATCATTTACAGTACGGTTAAAAACACTGCTCAATAAAGTCCCTGGCAGTGATTGTGATAATGAGTATGCCTTGAATGCGTGCTTCGTCTTGATGAGGGGCAGTGGGGTAGCCTTGTGGTTAAAGCGTTCGCTCATCACGCTATAGTCAACAGTTCGATTCCTCACATGGGCACAATGTATGAAGCCTATTTCTGGTGTCCCCCGCCGCGATATTGCTGCTAAAAGCGGCGTAAAACCATACTCACTCACTCGTATAAATAATAACGACAAACTCATTGCCATAATCATAAGACATTTCTGATGTGATCAGAGTGAGTTGTACGATTCTGACGATATCCTAAGACATGTGTTTATGGATCACAATCATGTAGATGTTCGTGAAAAGGTGAGCATATCCTTTTTTGACCGGTGGCATTCATCACAAACGCATGCAAAGGCAAGTCAATTGTTAATCTGGAAAAAAACAAGGGAACAATTCATAGTTGGGAATTGCATAGGACATCATGAACATGAATACATGACACTTGTTTATGCTCAACAACTTCATCAGAAGAATAATATCAAATGTAGGGGGAATAAGATAAGATGTAGGGGCAACTTCGTTTACAAAAAATAAGAAGTTGTTACCCACAAGAAAGTGTTATGTATTCATGTTTGCATGACTATGACAGTACCTAATTGAATGTAGAGTTGTCATATTTCAACAGAATACCAAAACAACAGAAGAGTCATAAACTGAAACGTTCAGGTATCGTTACTATGCAAGGATCTGTCCGTATCGGTCATTATCTCAGCAGATTGAAACTGGAAACCAGGAAGCATGAGAATTATTATCGCTAATGACGGCGGCAACAGCCCAGTGTTAGGTGGGACTGTGTGTGCGTCACCGTAAGCTCGTTACACTTCCTGATGCGGCAAATTAGCCAGGCAAATTCTCACCCTCTTCCTACCAGTCTCGGGTAAACGGTAGTGTACACAGAATCACAGAGTAGCTACGTGCAGTCAGTGTATGTCAACATAGGCAGAGGTTTGGCATTACGAAAATGCTGGTCGTGCACCCTTCCTCCAAAACGTGGGCGGTTGTTTTATGTAATTTACCAAGTTATTTTCTAATTATATGTACAAATCCAACAATAATTGAGAAATCTTTAACCTATTAAATACGAATATGCACACTTGCAAATGTTAGGCCTAATACTTTCATGTGTTGATATTTTGGTTCTTAAAGTGTCATCATTGAAATTGATTGAATGTTGAGAAGGGAGAGATCGTTTCAGGATTGCCAAGTTCATGTGTACTCTAGCATTCTAAGGTAACCAACATATATATTTATCATAGTGTAATATTTTTTTAAAGCGAATCTTTAAACTCCTCTATTTTCAAGTTATTTTAAATGTAACTGGGTTGTCGATCGGTTCAATCGGATCTAGAAAGATTTGTATTTTTCATTCAGATTAATATTTGAGATTTAAGTTCTAACACTTTTTGTGTTCTTTATGAAGAAACGTCATGTTATTTATTTTTCACCCATCGGGGAATTGATTTTATTATATATAACTTCTTTTTTGACAAAGGTTATAAGCTACTTATTTGCACTATTCAATATTTTTCGTCCTTTTTTTAGTCACGTTTATGATAACATTTCAGTCCTTAATTATCCCGCCATTTTAATAAGTAATGCTGAAGAATAGAAAACTCAGGTAGTGAAATTACATTGTCGTTATCTCTGAGTTTCAAACAAATATTTGCTACAGTGTTTCGAAACAAGTGACAGGGGTTAACAAAACTATTTACATATCACATGCCGTACCTTACGGGTCTCATCTTCATATATATTCTCACCCCAAAGAGAAGATTAAGATAAAAGAAATTATACATAAAATAATGTATTTAGTATTGACCAAGAATATGTGTTATTGAGTGTGATTCAACAAGCAATATGTATTGGTCATAGACAGAACTCTACAACTCAACAATGATTTTGCTCAAAAGCACATACCGGTATAAAATGTCAACTTATTTGTTAATATACGTGAGTTAAATTATTTTATTAATTCATTATGAAACTTGGATAAACCTGTTTCCATCGGAGATATAAAACCTCATGTGTAGGTATTTTATACATAAAACACTGAATAAATTCTTCTTTTTTTAATCTGTGGTTTATTTCTTGTTTAGCGCCGCGCTCAGCAACATTCCTGCTACATGCATATGATGGCTAGATCAGTGACTTATGTTATGAGCCGTCGGGTACGCTATTAACGAAGTCATCGAGTCTGATAACTCGATCTATTTAGTCCCGTATGACTAGCATAGCTTGCTGGGAACCCATTCTAACCCAGAATACCACATTCAATACTATTACAATGAACCATAATACTATTTAGAAATTGAATGGGGTTTTATAGTGTATATTATCGCCATGCGCCCTCGCAAATTCAATGTGCTATTGTGTTTTTATTACCGGAGATGTGGCCTTTATTTCGACTGTAAATACATAGAGGGCTTTACCGCTATTCGTGTTGGGAAATAACAGTTTAGGATTGATCAGTTGTTTGAAGACATTGTCTCTCTACATCGTTTAACCATTGTGACGTCACCACGACGACAGCCTAATCCGTCCAATGGAAGATACGAAAATGGCTTCCAGAATTAGACCTGTATGAGGTTGTTTGTATGTTTCACAAACTGGATAAAACTTAATCTCCAGTGATAAAGACAACTAAGCCTATGGAATTACAGATTATATAGCACTCGGGATTTTAAAGGACGCACAATCTTTATTCCAGAGATAATCATTAATTTCTCATGGCTCGGAAGTAATTGTCGAAGTATTAAGACCGCCCTGGTGTCAAGTGTGCTGAGGTGAAGTAGCAATACACAGAACATCTAATGCAGAAACTCATATGACTTAACGTTAATCTTTGTAGCTTATGAAAATCAATGAAAGTAAATGTTATCAATAATATTTGGGAATAACCTTTCAACTTTGTCTTTTGAATGATTAAGATATATCAGACACACTCATGACCTTTGAAACGTTGTGGAATACTGTTTTAAGAGTGTCACGAGTCTCCATAAATACAGAAGAAATTGTGATAAGAAACATTTAACGATAGCTTAACATTGATGATAATTATTATGATACGGACTAGTTATTTATGA